TTAGCTAAGTGCCTCATTACCAAAGAGGAAGAAACGTGGCTATGGCATCGTCGGATAGCTCACGTTAATATGGACCATCTTAATAAGTTGGTTTCTAAAGACTTAGTAATTGGTGTTCCTAAACTTAAGTTTGAGAAGAATCTAATTTGTGATGCATGTCAAAAGGGGAAGCAAGTAAGGGCCTCGTTTAAGTCAAAGAACGTTGTTTCTACGACTAGGCCATTACAACTTTTGCACATGGACCTTTTTGGACCTTCAAGAACTATGTGTTTAGGAGGTAATTACTTTGGCTTTGTTATCATTGATGACTATTCGAGGTTTACATGGACACTCTTTCTTGCTCACAAGTATGATGCACTTAATGCTTTTAAGAAATTCATTAAATTGGTTCAAAATGAAAAAGATTGTCACATTTCATCCATTAGAAGTGATCATGGGGGAGAATTCGATCAAGATGGCTTTGACGCCTTATGTGACGAATTAGGCATTGAGCATAACTTCTCGGCCCCCCGTACACCACAACAAAATGGCGTGGTGGAACGGAAAAATAGGTCTCTTGAAGAGATGGCTAGAACTATGCTCAATGAGGCTAACCTTCCTAAATATTTTTGGGCGGATGCCGTGAGTACCGCGTGCTACGTGTTAAACCGATCCGTCATTAGACCGATACTCAAGAAAACGCCTTATGAACTTTATAAAGGAAGAAAGCCTAATGTAACGCCCCAAAATATACCCTAGAATTATTAATGAATAAATAATCAATTAATCAAATTTGTTTTGATTAAAAAAAATTATTGTTGGGCTTTGGGCCAATACGAAATTTGTTTTGACATCTAATATAAAAATCTGGATAAGTCTCATAGAGATAAATCCAATATGTGGACTATATATGTGGTCTTGATTGGGAACCTGAGTACAGACCCAAATCAAGAGTAAATAAAGAATTTGTTTAGAATGTAAATATTGAAATGATTTGTTGAAATAAATCATGAGAATAATTGATATGAATTAAATGAGAGAACCTTTTATGAGAAAGGTCAATTGAACCAATTTTTACTCTGTTAAAGTCAAACACCCAAAAATATGATGTCGGAAAAAGTATTACAAATAAATATAAAAGTTATGTCGTTGGATAGAGTTCGACTGTTTGGTCGCAACGATGCAAACAGAATTCAATTCGGAGAAAATTGGACCAAAAAGAGTACTCCGACTGGGACCGAAATTAGTCCCAATCAGGGAAGAATCATGTAAATATCCGATCGGCGCAACCTCCTCCACTACGCGACTTTCACACGCAGAAATGAGTCAGCCAGTGTCCTCTTCCCATTCTCTTTTTCTATATAAGGATACTCCATCCTTACCAATTCTTCACCAAAACTTACAATTTTAGTACCATTGTGTTAATAAGAGTGAGGAGAGCAGTCTGATATTGTTGGTTGCCACCGAAGTCGCCGGAGTTGGGAGTTATCGTCGCCGGAAGTGTCGCCGGAAAATTCTCAAAACCTTCGATAAGCTTCGAGGTAAGCCCGTAGATATATCTAGTGACTACAATGTTCGTATAGATCGTTTCTACGTTCATAAACAGTCGTTTGGTTGAGTTTTGTGTTTGACATGTTTGAAGAACCAAGAATCATAAACCATGAAATTGATGTTAAAAATATGAATTAATGATGCCAAAATGATCTATGAACCTTGTAGAACATCTCTATATAGTTTTGTCGAAGTTCGATAACTAAAAACGATATTTCCGAAATTGGACCCGAACGAAGAAGAAGATGAACAGTGGCTAAAACACCACTGTCTGGATCGATCCAAGGGCTTGGATCGATACCCTGGGAGTGATGTTTCATAGTTTGGATCGATCCAGAGGGCTGGATCGATCCCTCGAAGTTCTGATCCAAAAATTTGTCTGAAATTGCTATTTTTGAGCTCTAAAATCCTATTTTTGATACCAATGGATTATGACCATTATAAAAATGATTTACCATAATAAAAATGATGTTTTTAACAACTAAAAAATGTTATGTGTCGCATGACGGTATGTTCGGGTGTTAACACTCGAAGCTAGGCCGCTATTTATTATCAATTGTTGTGTTAATTGATGATTATGATAAATGAATATTATGGATGATTATGAGTATTGAACCTACTGATTAAAATAAGTATTTATGATTGAATCATGAATAAAATGAATACATTTATAATTATGAAATGATTTGTAGTGTTAAGAGTATCTAGAAGAACTCTAAGGTATACACATTTAGAAAATTGATGTTAAGGCTATCTAGAAGACCTCTAGAATAGATCTCATATTAGTGTGGATTTGTGAAACATGAATATTCGATGAATTAGATAAAAATGTATAAACGGGATTCGTAGACTAAGCTAGAGGATCACTCGTTTGGAAATACTTCGACTCAATGATGATTAATTATTGTCTTATTCTTGCCTTAAACTAATTATAGTTTAAGCGTCTGAGTATTGTTTGCCTTAAACTAATTAAAGTTTAAGCGTCGGAGAACAGTTGCCTTAAACTAATTATAGTTTAAGCGTCTGAGAAATGATTGCCTTAAACCAATTATAGTTTAAGCGTCTAAGAAATGTTTGCCTTAAACTAATTATAGTTTAACCGTCTGAGAATGAAATTATGATCTAGCCTTAGACTAAGAATAGCTAAGAGCGTTGTTATGATCTGGCCTTAGATTAAGAATAATTTAAGAGCACTATTGAAATAGTATCTGAATTGAATAAAATGTGTTGATATGAACTGAATAATATCAAAACTGTGAATGTCTAAAACGAACATTGTGTGCATGATATCAAAAGATTTGATTATGAATTTAGATTCAGTTTATATGGATGTTCGACGCATTAGATATGCTTACTCAGCTTTACCGCTGAGCGTGTAGTGTGTTTTATTTGGTACACGCAGGTAAACAGAAAGATTAATGTGATCCTGGCGGCAGATGGGGTGAGATTGTCGGGATGGATGTGACAAGTTTTAAAATGATTTATGATATGCCAATATTAAATTCGCTTCCGCAATATTGTTAAATACTCCGTACTGTATATGTTATGAAAAATATTATTGAGATTAATAGAGTGTGTTTGAAAAGTTTTAAATTTTATGATTACCAAGTTAAATACTTTAGTCCGAATGAGGCTACAGACCTGGACGGATTAGGGTGTTACAATTTGGTATCGGAGCAAATGGTTTTAAAACCGATCTTCGGATAAAAAAAAATTGAATATAGAAAAAAATGTTTCGGTCACATCCACGACTCTCACATCCCTCTGCTCCAGGAAAGGTATGAGAATTTACTTGGTAAATATTGACTCTGTTAGAATTCTCATTAAATAAAAATTGTTAGTTCTAAAATTATATCGAGCGTAGACTCAAGTAGAAATTTTCGTACTCGGTGAAGAGAGGAAAGAATGAACGAAAAATATATTACCCTCTCATCCGTTATTAACGTACGCATCGCATCGCGAATTACGAAACTGATCTTCCTTGTAAAGTCTCATGGAAGTGAGATGACTATGAAGAAACGAATAATGTTGAACAACATCTGTGAAGCTGATGTCAAAGATCCTCATGTGGACTCAAGACAATCTAATCGCTGATTCAAACACGAACATTTAGAATCAATAAACTCTGTTATCTGAAGTATCTCATACTATTGTTTGACTCATTAGGACACATTATGCGATTACTTAATGTGAATCGAAATCATTCGTTAAGCAACAATTCTTTGTAAAACATCGTTGAAGTACCATACAAAGAAATCGACATTATCCTTAGTATGCATTAACGGACTGAACGTCGTTGCTGTTGTCAACTTGTGATGAAGAATTCCTCAACTGAAGGCCAATGATGGTAACATCATAAGAGGTGAAAGCAAAGCTGATTTTTAAACCAACCGAATTCATCTCGAATATATATGCAAAAATGTCTCAACCATAAGAAACGTGAAGTCTATTCGTGTGATACCCAAAAAGAATAATCTCAACTGAAGGAACGTACCAAAAGTATGTCACCTCTCTGATATGAACTTCCTTATATTTCACCGTTCAAAACTCTCTCAATCTTGATCCTCGAGAGGACCAATATTTGTAACTCCGTATTTAATGTGTTTCCATCGAAACTAAAAACTCAACTATGAAGATTGCCTGACAAGGAATCATCTGACAAAGTGTTTTCTCTAACGGAGAGTATCTGTTCTGTTCAAACGTGAATAAGGAAGAATCAATGAGACTCTATATCAACTACTGTCAGTTGAACAATTCGTTATCCTTTACTTCATATCATGACTTATTTGATCAGCTTAGAGGATCCATTGTATTCTCTAAGATTGACTTACGGTCAAGATACTATCTCTATTTAGAATGATGGACAAACTGATGATCGAGAATCGCTACCCTTTACTACGTATAGATGATTTGTTCGAAGAACCTGTTTGTTAAAAGCTATAGACATCTCGAACATGTTGAATGAACTGATGCCTTACTATGAAGCGACTATTGATTTAGTTGTTTATCGTCAAAAACGTCGATGTAGTCTGAATCGACTAAGTGAAACATAGTGATGCTGACTAGACAAATCGATTGACTCGTTTGACGTGAATAAGTGACGCCAAAAGTGAAAGATTGAAGAACGAAGAAAATGTAGCTCGCATATGACTAACCATTGATGTTTATGGATAATATTACTTAAACACAAAATACAACTTGGATTACGTGAAGAAAGTTATAAATGCAATTCCAAGTCTAGTCTTCCAGGATTCACAAACTCATTGTAACTAACCCCAGGTCCCGGGAAAGCTTTAGCAAACTCTAATTTGTCTAAAAGCTCACCAACAAAGAAAGAAAAAATGAAAAGTTTCCTCTGACTCAAAGACATGAAGTTCTGCCTCACTGCATCGTCTAGAAATTTGATTAGGTTATTGAAATAACCGTCAATTTTCAAGACACCAATGGGTTTATTGTGCAAACCATCAGATGCCCACAAAATTACGGTCAACAAACCTTCCATAGTATCAATTCCTCCGGATAGTATGATGAAAGCCTCCACCACATGATTCATCTCGAAATACTTGTAGTAATTGCTGGAAACGGTGTACTCTGCACCGTGTGTAGGACCATAGACCTGTCGTGCTGCTATGTACCATGATATGAAGCCTCTAACTATACCACCATTTGTAGAAATTGTTGAAGCAACAGCTCCTTGAAGGCCAGTGTTGCCCCCTCCATATGTAAGCCTTATTTTTCGCCTTATCAATTCCCTTCCTAAATCTACCGCACTAGCCATAAACTTTGGATTTCTACCAAGAGAGTGACTTCGAAGAAGACCAACGAATCTTATAGTGTAAGGAAGTGTTCGAGAAGTTCCTTCCATAATCTAAGAATGTGAGATACTCATTCTATAATCATAATATATATATAGCCTCAGAAACCTGACCACTGGTGGAAAGGTAATTGTCACCAGCCAAAATACGTATAGTAAAATGTATTCAATATACCTACAGACAAGAACGTACTCGCTAATATTATAGTCTGCTGATGATATGACGCATTGAGACTCTTAAACAGTTGGATTCGTTGTCCTGAAAAACGTTTAAATTCAAGACGAAAAGTCAAAATGGCTATTTCCTTAAGACAATGACTTTTTGAGTAGCTTCCAAAGAGTGAAAAATTGAGGGATGAAAACCTACGATTAGTAACGATAATTCACAAACGTTATCTTTGTATCTTCTGATTCATACCCTTGAAATATTCAAATTTATTGCGTTGATCACACTCTTGAAACATCCCACTTGACCAATTTTGAAAAGATTGAATTCCATTACTGGTATCAAGATATTGAACCATGAAAAATTTGTCTAAACTCACAATGTAATCCCCAAGATGCTTTTTGATACCGATATTTGAAAACTATACCCTTGGAATACGTGACTCGATCACAATGGTAAAAATACCCTGACTTAAACATTATGTTAAACCTCTCTTTGTGCACTACAAAACGATCAATACAATCAAGCTATCTCTGAGGATTATTATCAATGATATTGTTAGAATCCTAGCAAGGAAATGTATGTGCGACAACCAGAGAAGAAATGACGTCACAAGAACAGGCTGAATCATTCAAGTGAAGATTCCGAACCTATATGCGATGTTGGTGTAAGAACTAGTAAAAATTCCTCACTCTATGAATTAATGAATTGAATCACGTACTCAAGATATTATCTTCTTCACTCGAAATGAAATCAACCATGGTGTTATATCAAACCCGTCATTATCAAGAACGTATCTGGATATATTCCAAAATCGATGAAGAAAGTTGAATACCACAAGACGTATATGAAACACCACTCTAACGTTATCGCATGTGGATACGAATTAATGCAAAGACTCATTAACGATAATGAGATCTACCATGAAGTGAACGAAGAAATGTTTCGGCATAAGGTCGATAAATGACATGCTACTGTACAACTGATCGACAGTACCTCCTCATAAATGTTGACAAATCCCATATTCTGAAAATCCTAAACCAATAAAAGCCATTAGATATTACTTACAAGTCGTTGCTGAACTGTGAACGATGTGAAGATGTTTTGATGACTTATAAGATTACGCTATGACGTATGAATTAAACAACCTCCAAAAGCTCCACTACATCCTGAACTTGAAACAACAAGGACTTTCAATCAAAAGGAGAATATCGTTAACCGACGTTGTACAATTGGAAATTAAGAATGAACGAAGTTTTGTGCAAGTATGTCAAGTATACAACCCTATACACCACGAAAGAATATTAGTTGTTGATATTGAAGAATCAATCAGTGCCTGGTGGAATTAAAGATTATTAATCTTTTGGAGAAAGAACAAGTTTGATAACATCGACAGTTTGAGAAAACGTATCTGTATGGATAATGACGTAATTATGGTTTAACCAAATGAACATGACACGGTCATGATTAAGTGAGATCACTACGAAATGTTGAAGGTTTGACCTTATAAGAATTTCGAGGACGAAATTCCTTTTTAAGAGGGGAAGAAATGTAACGCCCCAAAATATACCCTAGAATTATTAATGAATAAATAATCAATTAATCAAATTTGTTTTGATTAAAATAAATTATTGTTGGGCTTTGGGCCGATACGAAAATTGTTTTGACATTTAATATCAAAATCTGGATAAGTCTCATAGAGATAAATCCAATATGTGGACTATTTGTGTGGCCTTGATTGGGAACCTGAGTACAGACCCAAATCAAGAGTAGACAAAGAATTTGTTTAGAATGTAAATATTCAAATGATTTGTTAAAATAAATCATGAGAATAATTGATATGAATTAAATGAGAGAACCTTTTATGAGAAAGGTCAATTAAACCAATTTTTACTCTGTTAATGTCAAACACCCAAAAATATGATGTCGGAAAAAGTATTACAAATAAATATAAAAGTTATATCGTTGGATAGAATTCGACTGTCTGGTCGCAACGATGCAAACAGAATTCAATTCGGAGAAAGTTGGACCAAAAAGAGTACCCCGACTATCCGATCGGCGCAGCCTCCTCCACTACGCGACTTTCATACGCAGAAATGAGTCAGCCAGTGTCCTCTTCCCCTTCTCTTCTTCTATATAAGGATACTCCATCCTTACCAATTCTTCACCAAAACTTACAATTTTAGTACCATTGTGTTCATAAGAGTGAGGAGAGCAGTCTGATATTGTTGGTTGCCACTGAAGTCGCCGGAGTTGGGAAATATCGTCGCTGGAAGTTTCGCCGGAAAATTCTCAAAACCTTCGATAAGCTTCGAGGTAAGCCCGTAGATATATCTAGTGACTAGAATGTTCATATAGATCGTTTCTACGTTCATAAACGGTCGTTTGGTTGAGTTTTGTGTTTAAGATGTTTGAAGAACCAAGAATCATGAACCATGAAATTGATGTTAAAAATATGAATTAATGATGCAAAAATGATCTATGAACCTTGTAGAACATCTCTATATAGTTTCGTCGAAGTTCGATAACTAAAAACGATATTTTCGAAATTGGGCCCGAACGAAGAAGAAGATGAACAGTTGCTGAAACACCACTGTCTGGATCGATCCAAGGGCTTGGATCGATCCCCTGGGAGTGATGTTTCATAGTTTGGATCGATCCAGAGGGCTGGATCGATCCCTCGAAGTTCTGATCCGAAAATTTGTGTGAAATTGCTATTTTTGAGCTCTAAAATCCTATTTTTGATACCAATGGATTATGACCACTATAAAAATGATTTACCATAATAAAAATGATGTTTTTAACAACTAAAAAATGTTATGTGTCGCATGACGGTAAGTTCGGGTGTTAACACTCGAAGCTAGGCCGCTATTTATTATCAATTGTTGTGTTAATTGATGATTATGATAAATGAATATTATGGATGATTATGAGTATTGAACCTACTGATTAAAATAAGTATTTATGATTGAATCATGAATAAAATGAATACATTTATAATTATGAAATGATTTGTAGTGTTAAG